CGCCGACAACGTTCTTGGCTCCATCCGTGACACCGCCGACGACGTTCTTGGTCCCATCCAAAACTCCTCCAATCAAGCCCTTCGATCCGTCTTTATCTCCGCCTGTGATACCGCCAACGACGTCCTTAGCTCCTCCCAAGATTCCACCAATAATACCCTTCTTTCCATCCTCGGAGACGACTTCAGATTCTTTCACATTACCGTTGACACCTTCCTTGACACCGTCCACGACATCACCGACTGCATTGCCCAAACCGTCGACGATGTTCGTGACTCCGCCCAACGCTCCGCCCACTACATCGTTGGCTACATTTGTCACGCCTGCCAAACCCTTGCCGACTCCCTCGCCGATCTCTTCTACGCCATCCTTGACCCCGTCCACTAAGCTACCAACTCCATTGACTGCACCTTTGACTCCGCCGACAAGGCCGTCGATGAGACGACTTTGGGCCTAAATTACATCAGATTATTCACAATAAATTATACTATAATCATTATTTTTCTTTATATTTACCTGAGACGCCACCAACAAGATGAAGAATAAAGCGAACTTGGACATGGTAGATTGAACCGTAGATCTAGTCTGACTTCTGCCTTCTTGCTTCGACTATTTATAGGTGCCATCGAAAACATTAGAAATTTAGAACACTTTTTTTTCTAATTTTTTAATGAGCAACACCTTCTTATCGCTCGCATAGATATTGTCTAAATAATTAGATACACATATTTTGTTAACAAGTACATTTCAAATATTCACACCTTCGGATTTACAAAATTAAAAATCTAGTCAACCGTGTATTTGGTGACATCTATACAGAAAGGACGGGGCTGATATATCCGCCGCTCGTCCGTAAATAGCTAAAATTTAATATTCCTTCGCCGGATTAGCAAATTAGCAATTCCATAACTGTATATTCAATAAGCGGGAATATGTATCTGTTAATTTAATGTTTAAATTAAATCTTATCAGTGTTTCGTTTCAATTAAGAATATTTCTTATATTCGTTTGGACTGCTTCGCAGTTTGGTTCATCCATTCTTTTAATCATCATTGAAAAAACTTCTACAATAAAATCATCTGGTTGCCATGACAATCAATTTTTGCTTAAAAAAAAACAAGTAATTTATATTTATAATTTATATTTTCGTTATAACTTTTACGAGGTTTTAAGCAGTTAGGCAGTGAATTATATGAGTAATTGTTTTAGTCTCTGTTGTTAACTTTGTCAATTTTTCCAAAATAAAATTTGTATTCACAATTCTAAGTTAACAATTTCGTTAATCAATCGAATGATCAATCATAAACTATCCATTTATTACCTTAATATTCAATATTGAAATCGATAACAAAAAAAACCACTGAAATCTGTAAAAGAATATAAAAGTTATAATGCTTTCTTTTATAACAAAAAATGTGATTAGAATTGTCGCTGCAACAATAATAATTATTGTTAATTGATACACGATTAATACATTTATGATGTAGAAACTGTTACGCTGTAAACAAATTTACCGAGGAAAGTTTCGAGCGCGATAAGAGTCGCGCCTCCTTTTATATATATTTTTTTATATATTCCTTCCGAATGACCCCCAGCGTCTCCATAAATCACCGATAAACTCTTACAACTCGAACCAACAGAAAGTAAACAATAAAATATAACTTACTTCTGTCTGTTACACACTTATTTGCATTAAAATAAAAACAGAGATTCTCTTGCATCATTCATTCATTGATAAATTCACCTTTACCGCTTTACACTTGATTCATTAACAGAAAGTGTAAGCTTGGTTGCATACACCAAATAATCTATTTTAAAAAAAAATTACTCGATTTGTTTTCAACTGTTTCGATTCGAAAACAAGCGCTCTTTATTCTTGTTTTTTTTTGGTAATTATATATTAATTATTATTTACAATCGATTTCGTTTTTCAGTCTGCGAAATAATTGATTTAGCAATTAATTGTGAGCTCGTGAAGCCGTGACGAATCTAGAATGCGGGGCAGCAACATTGATTGACATGTGTATTTACAAAACAGACGAATCGCGCCTTGACTCATTCACCGCTTTTCTTTTTTCCTTTTTGTTTGTTTGTTTGCTTGCACTTGTTGACTACTCAATATTTGCTTACTATTTATTAATAACTTTAGAAAAAATAAATCTGCGACGCATTTAGAACATTTATAATGTTCATAAGAGTTTTCGCATTGATTGAACAATAGATGGCGTCATAATTTGACAGCGTTACAGACGCACTTTTACGATGACAAGAAAAATACTACTTCTAATTCAGCGAGTTTCAATATTTAACTTATTGATCATCGAGTAGAAAAGTAATTCGCTTTGTCCTTCACAATTGTAACAATAGATCTAGTCACCTAATTCGCTAATGAGTTCGAATATCAATTGAAATATGGTAGAATCTTTAGAAAAAACGAATTACCATGGTGATTGTTATTTTGAGTTGCAATAACAAATCTAATCACATAATTAATTAATTTTGAATATCAAAACAATCGAAATGCAGTATCAATCACCATGGTTACTGTCCTTCAAATAGTTTTGATGAAACCTAGAGACGCTGGAAATAATGCACTATTTAATGGATACGAGTATCGAATGGAATTCGAATCTGTATCCAAGTTGGTATAATTAGTCTAACGGATGATGATGCAATTGCTCGGAAAATTTCCGCTCGCTGTTTGCAACTTGTAAATTATCTTTTTTTTTAATAGAGGCGCCATCTCTCATTCGTTCACAGATAACGAGTGCGAACGCAAAAAAATGATCCGGTATATGTGCAAATAGTGTGCATGGTTTTCGTCATGACAACCGATGGGACAACAAACAATTGGGAGGGAGCGAAAAAAATGTGGAAAAATCAAGGTGTTTTCGTTGTAATTCGATTGAATGAAGAAAACAACGTTTGTTTTTTTTTTTTTATAAATATAATCGATGATGAGATGATGAGGGTCGTGTCAGGTCAGATAATTTGTTGTAATAAACAATTTTCGTTTTCAATTGTAAATTGAGATTTCTTACAGAATTTTTAATTTTATATAAATTATACAAATCGTTCAACTTTAAGTTTAATTATCTGTAAATAAAAAATATCTTGAATTTATTTTTGATTTATTACAAAATTTCTAATTATAAATTTTGCTCAACAAAAAAGTTTTATTCTGTGTGAAGATGTCTGGAGATTTAGAGATTAAGAGAGAAAGAGAGATAGTGAGAGTTCTCTGTCTGAATATGCGGGGGGTCTTAGTCCATCTTTGTCTAGATTAGACAGTTTCCATGCGTATACTGTTTCCACTCGTCACGATGAGTGTGTTTGTACGTAATATATGTCATAGGTGGCGCACGCATCGCTCTGAAAAGTTACGTATTCCGCGGCGCGATCGCTCGATGCGTGGGAGCGAGACGGCAGATACGAAAAAGTCGGCGGTATATATAAAACCGGTATCTCGGCAACGCGGTTTCTTTAGTCAAAAGCCGGACGCCGGTTGTGGTACTTTGTGGACGACGATACGCGCGCACATATATTACACGTTTTTCACGTTGACTGTTTGTGCATTTAACGAGCGATTTAACTGACGGTTAAAAGTTTAAACAACAACAACAACAAACACAACGGTGGTGCAATATTTGTGATTTTACACACACCACCACTACCAACTGAAAATCAGACTTCAAAGGTGAGAAAAATTCGCACATTTTCATACATCGTTTCAAAAAAGATACACTGAAATTCATATATTTTTCGTGTTTATTACTTTTCGCTGTTACTTATCGTTATCTACTACATTCAGCGGCGCTAAATCAAAATGTTATCGTGACTTCCGTCAAATTTGACAGCTTCCAAGAACTGACGTTTATAATGTCATTATTTGAAAATAAGTCTTTGTTAGGTTATTAAACTGTCAAAAAATGACGTTTATAATGTCATTATTCAACGATTGGATGTGTTACGTCTCAAGTAAATAAGCTGGGAATTTGACAGCGATGCAAATTTTTGCGGTTGCACAAAAAGAAAAACGAAACATAAATAAAGAAAAGTCATTGTTTGGCTATTTCGAAATAGTTTTGTTCTAGATGTTATTTTGTGTAACGTTGAGTAATAATTGAATTTAATTAAAAAAAAAAGTATGTGAAATTATCATCAATATTTGTAATCATAAATAAACATTTATCGGAGGCTTGACTGGCGGCTTTAAGATTAATTGCGCAACGATTATATTTTGTTAAAAAAAAATATTGCACCGTTGTCATGGTGATTAAGCAATATAATCTCAGTTCTTAATTGTGATTTATATATGTATGCAAATTAAGTAATTATAATATCTATACTTACTTTAAGTTGTATTATCTATTTTAAGTACTTAAATATTTATCTTACAAGTAATGATTAAATACCTCGTTACTTTTTAATTGGTGATTTAAGTATTGTTAAGTAGAATAATTTGTTTTTTTGCGACCTTCGGATTGTAAAATTGGGTTGTTTCTACTGGCATATTTTGCAGTTGCGTGCACAAAAACAGTAGTGATTTGAAAACAAATCCTCTACATTTTTTGACACGTCTCAACACGCAATTTCAAATAAGCGATAATAAGCGATGATGATAGTGCGATCGAAGAAAAATCAGTAAGTTGTTTATCAATCGTCGGAGCGCGTGAATCCTTTAAAAACGCATTTCGCCAAATTATTGAAGCACTTCAAAATCAACGATCAATTGATTAAATAATTGAGTTAATTAGAACAAAAAAAAATCGTTACTACAAACAGCAATTTGACATTTATTGAAAACTGTCAAACATCGAGCAGTTGAATGTCATTTTTGGCAACTGTCAAATTGATTGGTAATAAATAGATGTCATTTTTGATAACTGTCAAATTGATTAACCTTTATAGGTAATAAGCAGATGTTATTTGATAAATTGAATGTCAAAGTAGATGTTATTTGATAAATTGAATGTCATTTTTGATAACTGTGAAATTGATTAACCTTTATAGGTAATAAATAGATGTTATTTGACAAATTGAACGTCATTTTTGACAACTGTCAAATTGCTTTGTGAGCTGCCAAACTCGATTTTAATACTTCGATTGAGACATTGCCTATGATTGCACGAAATTGCATCACGGTTCATTAAAATTGCCGGGTAAGCGAAAATATGTAAATATGTAAAAATAAAACAGAATGTGAACAAAGGAATTCCGATTAAAGTTTAAAAAAATTAATCGTAGAAAACGTGCGTGCAATCATTTACGTTTCGCACGGGTCATCTAATTTTATGTTGGCACTAAGGCTTTTCCTATGCGTCGCGAACATCTAAAAATAGTTGCGGGTAAATCTTCTCGCACATCGACCGATGTATGATGCAAAGAAAAAAAAAATTAAGGAGAATTAATCGATCGAATCGAGCCGAATCATCGTTTATTTATTGTTTATAATTATTTCGATCGATGTGTATTCACACTTATCGCAATCTGAAACGTCGAACGCAATTGGAAATTGGACACGACGTGTTTTCCAAGAGGTTTCACCACTTCCGAAGTAACAAAATGCGACAGGCGCGATTACGAAAAGAAAAAAATAAAATAAAACTAGAAATTCGTAATTGGTACGCGTGAATCACGTGCAGGATTTTTTTTTGCAGTACGAATTACGAGCGAGCAAGAAGAAGAAATTAAAAATGCGGAGGCGGTAAGACAGGAATGAAACGAGAAAAAGAAATTTACAAAAAAAAAAAACGGTATTCGGTGCGATTTACGTTACGACATCGCCGATAAATTCGTGACTCTGGCGAAGAGACTACAAGACTCGAATATTTATGGATGCTATTTTCGAAACCACCGGTTTTTTCTTTCTTCTTCTTTGATTTTGATAACTTTCCTTCATTATTCAACGCTTTTTCATCAATTTATAAAATCTGAAAATGTTCATGTTTACTCTATACCTAAATCATTTTGTTTTCTTGTTGCATATGTCAAAAGAATGTCATTAAAAATGATCATCTTTATGGTTATGTTAATAACGTATGTTATTTTTGACAGCTGTCACTTTGAACAACGATATTAATGTTGGTTATGTTAGCTGTACGTCAAATTTGACACCTGTCATTACAATATTTGTTTTTATTCATTTTTTCTGTTAATTAACTATTTAAATATTATTATTCATCATACATTTTCCCTTTTTGATTCACACATACCACATCTTTTGATGTTTGTAAATGTCAAATTTCTACAAGACTCGAATATTTATGGATGCTATTTTCAAAACTACCGGTTTTTTCTTCTTCTTTGCTTTTAATAATTTTCCTTCATTATTCAACGCTTTTTCATCAGTTGATAAAATCTGAAAATGTCTATGTTTACTCTATACCTAAATCATTTTGTTTTCTTGTTGAATGTCATTTATGACACCTGTCAAAAGAATGTCATTAAAAATGATCATGTTTATGGTTATGTTAGTTACGTAATGTTATTTTTGACAGCTGTCACTTTGAACATCGATATTAATGTTGTTTATGTTAACTGTACGTCAATTTTGACACTTGTCGTTACAATATTTGTTTTTATTCATATATATATATAAATTTCCAACAGTTCTGTTACATTTTTTCTGTTAATTAACTATTTAAATCTTATCATTCATCATACATTTCCCCCTTTATTATTTCCACATATCACATCTTTTGATGTTTGCAAATGTCAAATTTCTACAAGACTCGAATATTTATGGATGCTATTTTCGAAACTACCGGTTTTTTCTTTCTTCTTCTTTGGTTTTGATAACTTTCCTTCATTATTCAACGCTTTTTCATCAGTTGATAAAATCTGAAAATGTCCATGTTTACTCTATACCTAAATCATTTTGTTTTCTTGTTGCATGTCATTTATGACACCTGTCTATAGAATGTCATTTAAAATGATCATCTTTATGGTTATGTTAATAACGTATGTTATTTTTGACAGCTGTCACTTTAAATATCGAAATTAATGTTGGTTATGTTAGCTGTACGTCAATTTTGACACCTGTCGTTACAATATTTGTTTTTATTCATATATATATATATATAAATTTCCAACAGTTCTGTTACATTTTTTTTGTTAATTAACTATTTAAATCTTATCATTCATCATACATTTCCCCTTTTTTATTTCCACATACTACATCTTTTGATGTTTGCAAATGTCAAATTTCTACAAGACTCGAATATTTATGGATGCTATTTTCAAAACTACCGGTTTTTTCTTCTTCTTTGCTTTTAATAA